TCGTGTGTGCCTGCACAAATTATTGAGCATGCGATAAGTTTGGGGCGGGAGGGGTGCAACATGTTTCAGAACGGCACGTCGTAGACAGTACCGTGAACAGTGTTTCACGAAACTTCCCTGACCAAATGAAAGAATGATACGCAAATTTACCTGGCGGATGTACTTGGCAGCGGCGGAGAAGCCCTTCCCATGGACCAGGTCGTCTGTGAGCCGGTCGACAAGACGAATGTCGATACCCGACCGATGAGTGAGAATGAAAGGAAATTCCTTCGACACGTAGTCAGGAAGGCGATCCAGGCATCCGACATCCCACGCGTTGAAACTGGTAGGGCGCTGCTCCGACTCCTCCACGGTCCCGTTGTATTCAACACACCGCTCGCACTTGTACCTGTCCGCGAACAAACAAGCGGGACAGCCGACAGTCAAACAGGCGGCGAACTGATCCGCGCGGTTTACAAATTGTAACACACCACATACTCGGCGTACCACCAAAAAACCTCACGCTAACTGGGCTTACCGGAATCCTATGATGTACCCCACGTCTTCCTCCATGAACACCCGTCGTGGCCCCTTGGGATTCCATCCATCTGGCGAACCCCTTTTCCCGCACCTTGAACACGGGATTCCCGCCAGCGCTAGCTCCGGGAACAAATACTCGGGTATCCACGCGAACAAGCAGTGGCTTCAGAAGGAACGGAGAAAGTTTCGGCAATCCTGCGCAAAAACGTAGTGGACAGCGGTCATGGAGGCATGAGAAACGAAAATCGAGTTCGCGTAGCTCATGGGCGGAAAGTGGCAATCGCCAGGAGTACAAAACTGCTGTTCAAAGCAGCAAAGGAAACCCGGACGTCGGGTGCATACCTGAGGTGTTCTGCATCGTAGCACACTTCGGGAGAATGAGGGGGCTGCTCTAGGGGAGCTTCCCACTGCCTCCCCTAGGTGCCGCCACGCCGCCGCTGTGATGGATGATGTTGGCGTCGATGTTCTTCTTGACGGTACGGAAATGATCCCGCCTTGCAGGAGACAACCGTTGGCTATCCTCAATACCACCCCCGCCCACGGGAGGGGGAGCGGACTTCCCGCCGCTCCACCTGCCCGTGCCGCTGCCCCTCTCCCAGCCTCTCGCACCCCCATCGGTGCTCGTCGTCCACTACCCGTTCCTCCGCCCCCCCCTGCACTCCCACCTTCTTGTGTTTCCCGTCTAGCTCTGCCACTGCCTTGACCTATGCTTGCTGCTCCGACAGCGGCCGCCGCCACAGCCGCAGCTTGAGCTATCGTCCCCCCTGTAACGGCACCTGCCGTGCCTCCTGCCGCAGCTGTTGGTCGAGTTTCAGCACAGGGACTAGAACTTGCAGTGCCGCCTCGTCCTCGTCTTTGTTCCCCTTGTAACGCCGCCGCCCCAGCCGCTAGTAGCGGTGCCGGTGGTTGAGGAACAGGTGCGGTAGATGGTGGTGGGCTTGCTGACGTTACTCCTGCTGTTGCCGCTTGTGTTGCTGTTGCCGCTGCTGGTGATGTTGTTGTTGGTGCCTGTGGCATTCCTGCTGTTACTGTTGCAGCTGGTTCTACTGTCCCTCCTGCTTCCGGCCCCTCTGTTGCTGCAACTCCTCTGATGCCACTGCTCCTACGGGACGTTCTCTACGAGCTTTCCCCTTGCCTTTCCCCTTGAAAGACGGCGACTGGGTTGAAGCGGTTGCGGAGTTATTTGATGCCCCATGAACGACATGTACTGCCTGGCTCGTACTGCCTCTTCCGACGTCAGATATCGTCGTCGGTGTACTCCTCTCACCCGCACTTTCCTCGTCGTTGGTAGCACCTTCGCAACTGACTCGCTGACGCTTCCGTGTTGTTGTGTCTGCCCACCCCATGACCGTACGGAAAGCTGCTGCCTGCCGTGATCGCTTCTCCTCGTCGCTCTTTTTCTCTGCGTTTGATTTCGTCCCGGGCTTTTTTGCTCCAGCCGCAGGCGTTGATCCTTTCCTGCGACCCATGGTAAATTCCTCTGTGGTGCTGTGTGTGTGCTGTGGGTTGTCCGTGTGTGTGCTGCGGTGAGAGAGCTGTGTCCTTTCTCTTTGCGCAGACAAAGCGCAGAGTCCTGCCGCGTGCAGCGCTGCGCGCGCCTGTCCCGCCGCGCGCGCCTGTCCCGCCGGCGCTCCCGCGTCATTACAACTCCTCTGTACTAATCCCAAGTGCCGCTTTTAATACCCGCTTTCAAACTCCCAATCAGCTTCGTTCAAATGAGGTCGTTTGGGCCAATCAGAGGCGCCGCTTTTAAACAATTCATCCCTACCCATGGTCCCTGTTCCGATGGAGCGGGGAACTTTTGGGGTTCCGTAGTTGTGGTATATTGGGGGAATGGTGGCACCATCTTTGCCACATATTGATGTTTCCTGGGTATACGTGTCTGCAACGGTGTTGACCACGTGCACTTGGATAATTTTCGTCTTCCTTTTCCCGGCCATCACGCTCTGGGCTATCACGCCCGTGTCCACACATATCCACCGGCTATCACGCTGCCAGGCTGTCACGCCTCTAGGCTATCACGCCATCACAACAGCTATCACAGCACCAGCTTCAACACATCAGAGCCATCACGCTCCGGAACATCACAGATGCGGCGGGTTACCACATCCGCGGGCAGTTTACTGTATTTTATCGTTGCCGGCAAACTCGCCGCGCAGTTCTTTTTGCCGTCTACAACTGCGCCGGGCGCACAAAGCTACTCAACACGCTAGCGTAGAAGATCAAGAGAGTTGCTGCTGTGTCTGCGCGAACAAGACGGCTGGAGGAGATGGACGAAGACCTCCGGGGGAACCAGGGACTATTATAGTTCCTCTCCCCACGGGGAAGACAACGGGGGGAAAGGACGAGATTCGTTGAACCTCCCCGATGTGGACCAGGGAGGAACGAGAGCAGCCGCGGGTGGAGGGGAACAAGATCCAATTATCGCCCTTGCTGACCTCCTTCGCCGGGTTGCCAACTTCGCCTTCCAGACTCCGGGACATGGCGTCCGCTCAGGCACGTCTAGTTCCCAACCCATAGAGTTGAAGCTGAGAGAGAGAGTCGAAGTACCAGAGTGGAATGATGCTTTCTTGAAGGATCGAGGTNGTTTCTCAGGGTGGATGGATGCAGAAGGTCTTGAAGAGATCATGAAAGGAGAAGAGATTCCTGTGGGTTCGTTGCACGTCGATAAGGCTTGGTTGCGGCAGAGGTATGGCGATGAAAGTGTTCGAAAGGCCAGGAGAGTCTGGATATGCTTGATCACGAAAATCAACGTTCAACCTAAACTAGACCAGATACTAGCTTCAGAGAGTCCACAAGCAGGGTGGACAGCGTTTCAGTCCTACTACACTAGAAGTAGGACGCATGAGAGAGAAATCCTGGACGACACTTGGAACTGCCTTAGACAGAAGCATGGAGAGACTCTGCTCGACTACTGGGGAAGGGCGAATACTGTGTGGATGCAATTACAGTCTTGTGGGGACAATCGAGAGGAGACGAT